ACTGTGAGAAAAGCCTGCTGAATTTCCCAGTTGTTAGCACTGGAGACATGAAACTTGCTGCAATCCTAGGGTAGAATCTGCTTACATCGAGTATTACCTTACGTTGATAAGATGCTCATGTGTAAACCTATGGAAATAAGGATGGGTGGTGTCAGAATCTGTACCCCACTCTGAAGTCAGCAGACGTGGAAATGGGTTTTGTAGAACTGCCAACTCATAGCTTATAAATTTGGGGCTGCACGTATTAATTATAACAGATATCCCAGTTCAGTACTTGCTGAGGGCATCCTGCTTTTGATCATTGCTGAAGGGGACCTGTGGAACATCAAGCAGGAGATGTGCAAAAGACTCAAATCAAAGATGCCGGGGCTAGAGGGAGCGATCAACATCTCAAGAGCTTAAAGCACTTATCCTGATGCAGAGCAGCTCCTCCTACCCTGAGATTAATGAAATCACAAATCTGTCAGAAGAGGGGTGGAACTGTGCAACTGAGAATAACAAAGATAGAGTGTATATAGAAAGGGTAAAAATGGTTCAGTTAATAAGACCTTAGTATTAGAATTAATTTGTAGGAAAAAGAGTAGTTAGAGACTTGAGAGTAAATCTGAAATAAACTCTGGAATGAAATAGCACAAGTTTACCAAAGGTGGACTGTGTCCAAATAATCTCACCTCTCTGATAAGAGAACAGTTGTGATTTTCCTTGTTAAGGAAAGAATAATAAAGCTAATCCAACTTAAATTCTGTAGAGCTGCTGCTATAATATTTTGGTGAAATGATTAGATAAATGGGAAAGGTACTTGTTAGTACATATTGGAAGGGACAGCTGGGGAGGAAGACTGCATTTTTGGATTGATTAAAAAACCTTTGAGGGCTTACAGTTTCTTGACATCAGTTTCTACAGTACCACTGAGTTGTGATGTGGCTATGAAAAAGGCAAGTACATTGGTAGAATGTATTCTGCAAGGGATGGCAGAGAAATGTAATTTCTGTTATGCAAGACATTGGGAGAACTCATCTAGAATAACGCATATATAGATACATAGATTGACAGAGCATTATCTGTAATTTTGGTCACCGTGTTTCAAAGGAGATAAGTACAAACCTTGAGAAGCATGGAAAAGAACACAAGAAGCACTAACTCAGTGTCACCCTAGAAATTTCTTCGAGCCTTCTTTTGAATATACTCTTTCACAGTAGTATGCTGGAAATAGCATCTTCTCTTGACTCCTCTAGAGAAGAAATGGTTTAATGATTTCTTTGAAAGCCCAAACAAAACTTAGATTTAAACAGAAATACTCACATGATGCCTAGATCCTGTGTTTGGTGATGATTTGAAGTCTGGCCTGACTTGCTCATCCCACTTTAGCGAAATAGTTAGAATCTAGCAGAGTTTAACAAAACTCTGAGAAATGCCCCCTGAGATAACCTAGCCCACAGGTCGAAATTATCATTTGAAGTTCCTGGATGACAACTAGTTATTTCTGAAATAGCAGCTGAAATCTGAGGGCAATTAATCTTCACATAATTGCTCAGCTGGAAGTTCACCTAGGGGAGCAGTAAGTTGTTACCCATTCCCTTCATTCTGCTGTTTGTAGAGTATCACTAGTAAGAGCAAATAATGAAAAATGAAGAGATGAGAACAATTTAGAAGATGAAAAACTGCTTGACAGGTTTCATCCCGGGGGACATTATTTGGGATTAAGAGTGGATATTTGAGGTGTATGAAGGTGATGGCTGTCCAACAGATGACAACAGTTATACCATGCTGTATTTTTGCAAGTGGGAGATTCTAGTAACAGCATACTTTTGCCAGAGATACAAGCAGTTATTTCATTGATTTTGGGGTGGATTTGTCTTCTGGATATTCAGTTTCATGCTTGTTTCATGCTCCAGTCTACTGGAGTTACACATCGCAACTGTCCAGCTGCTGAGAGGCAAATGTGAAGCAATTAGTGTTAATGAATAGAAGAGCAAGACCAAGGCATTTAATTTCAAAGTATTAATCCATTATCTGTATTAACATATGATTCCATTAACATTATTTCCATTCTAAAAATAACTTACACACAGAAATGAACGAAAAATTAGTTAGCTGATGAGCTCTCATTACATTTGGCTAGCTAGCCCAGAGTTGGCCTACAAAGAAAAAAACAGCCTCAAACAGATCTTAAAAGAGATAAATTAAGCCTATCTCTTCCACTGAAGATTTATTTCAATAAAAAATGGAATAAAATAAACCCAATATAGCACATGATCCAATGAGAAAATAACTTACTGTGATCTACTTTAATGCCAAAAAGTGTAGTTATTCATGGCTGCACTGCTAGCAGCCCAGCTAGCTCAAAACAAAGCTGATTTAAAGTTCTTTCAATTTATCTGGATAGTTTCCTGCACTGTAGGAAAAAGTCCATTGAATAATATATTGCCCCTGTATTTTCAGATTCTTTTAAGAAAAAGCTATTTCCCATTTTGCTAAAAGGGGGAAAAAAAAGAAAAGAAAAACTGTTACAGTTGATGCAGTCTCTAGGATTGATTGTATTGTGAGAATATAATAAAGTAAGCCTTGTCTTCTGATCTTCACTTCAGAATGATATCTCTGGTTAAAATTTCACAGTATTTGGGGTCCAGGTTTCCTTGGACACATAAGAGCTGCAGCTGCTGCTGTCTTTAGGGGACTGCACTTCCACAGCTCCCTCCAGTAGTACTTGCAAACTAAAGGAAGAAGAGAATTTTTCCTGCAAAATGGTAAATAGGAGGTGAAGGGAAGGTAGTTTACCTAACTAACACACCTGATGAACCAGTGGGACTCCAGAGTGTCTTCCAACTCTGCCTTGCGACTATGACTTTTACTGAGTTGGAGATAAGAGTATTTATTGCTCTTCTCTCTCTTTTTTTTTTTTTTTTTAGTTTTATTGTAGCATTTCCAACATTTAACCTCTGTCAATTAAGCTTACTCAGAGTAATATACTGGTAGCAGCCAATGACATTTTTATAGCTGTGATGCCAATAGAGCTGGACAGGTGTTAGCACAAGTGAATTGTTTTTTAGGAAGTGTTTTAGAGAGTGACAAGTCCTATCATGGCAGAAGCAAGAATGGCAACCTTTAAATCAAAAGAGTGAATCAACTGAGAATTGATTTCTACTGGGATTTTCCAAATACCTACTTCATCTCTTACTTTCATTTCTCTTAATTTTTATGAAGCCCTAATGTCTAAAGAACATTATGAAGAAAACTGGATTCAAAAATGAAACCTTTCTCCCTGTGCTTTTTTAAATTCTGAAATTGTTAGCAAATTTGCTGTGTCATTCTCAAGAATTCTTTCCAGAAACTGAAGGCAAATCTGAAGAACCTGAGAATGGCCATTCTGCTTCTGATCAAATCTCCAGATCAAATCTCTGTCTCTAGCAGTGACTACAAATGAAAGTGTAGGAAAGGGTAAAAACACAGCAAATATATATCATACCCTTCACCTACCTGCTCCCCATCCCCAAATATTCTTCCAGCCTTCAACAATTTTTAGTGATTTCCCATGCCAGATGTGGTTTGGTGCATGGATGGGAATACTTGCTCAGTCTCCTCCTTGAACCTCTGTAATTCTTGTGCCTACAACACCCTTTGGCATACATTGCCCTGACCTGTCATTCTGCTTAAAGTGTCACCTCCTCTTGTTTGTTTTCAGCATGACCTCCTCTAACTCCACTTAATGCCCCTTCTTTCTGTATTGGAAGAGAGTGTCCAGGCAGTCATAGTCCAGTTTGGAGTTTACCTGTGATCACACATACACACATATGGTAGGGAGTACACCCCTAAAGAAGTAGTTAGGAAGAAGCTTTAATAAGAAGATAGGACACGAATGGGGTGACTGGGCAGCTAGCTCAGTCAGGCACGTGTTACTGTCCAGCCATCTGCTTACACTCAAAACAGCCCCTTTTACAGCCCTTTCCTCTGCTTCCCCAGGCTTGTGTTCCTCCCATCCACCTGGATCTTTCCCTTTCTGCACTATTCTTCCAAACAAACAACCTACCCCTCAATACTTCTCCTCTCTTGGTCCCACTTTTGTCACACTCATACCCAAATGATGGGTATGGTTCTGATATGGTTACCTAGGCAATCTTGACCTTACATGACGTTATTGATACAGTTACCTAGGCACTGCTGGCTTTGGAGGAAGCCATCTTCTGAAAGGTCCCCAGTACTTCTCTTCAATTATTTTTGAAATTTTGGTATTTCTCACCTAATATTTCTCACTTAATAGCCCCTTAACCATCTGTGAAATCTGGCCTACATACCTTCACATATGCAAGTTTTCCACTTGTACTGGCCCCAGGCCAGGAGGATGAGATTTCCCACAGTACTCAAAGCAAGCAGGAGCTAAATTCTTCTTGACTTTCCACAAGAGCTGGACAACATACATATTTTCGTATTTGTTATATATTGTATGATCTTACTGATCTGCATGGATGTGTGGAGTTGGAATTGCCAATGATTAGCTGAAGGACTCCTAGATCCCTGGATCTTTACTTAACATATAAGACCCTAAAGTTCTTCAGACAGAGAGCAGAGAATGCCGATATGTTATTAAATATGATTATGTCACTGAACTATTAGCAAGTGAGATGGGGGAGGTCTCCTGTGTGTCCTTTCAGCCCGTTCCCCCATGATGTAGGTGTACTGGGCTGAGGAAGACAGCCCCAAACAGTTTTCACTGAGGTTTAGATAAACACTTTGCAGTTATGCTAAATCAGGAGCAAATACTGAAGTTCATCTGAAGGATGGTGGCTTGCAAAGCTCATATAAAGCATTTTCCTTAATTCAAGTGCCCTCACCTTTAAGTGCTGACATAAGGAGCTTCAGGTTATCCTGTATTCAAGTAAAGACCAAAGCATTCAAGAATTTTTCAGTAAGACAAGGTCTGAAGAACTTGTAATAATGTGGGATATACGTTTTATTTTCCTTGTTTTTCTTTTCAACAGACAGATGATATAACAAAGGTCTCCAAGGCTGCCAAAATAATGGAGCGGATGGTGAATCAGAACACATTTGATGATATTGCACAAGGTACGGCCTTGCTGACAGATGTTCACACTCAAGCCCGCATGCCTGTAAAGGATTTTAGGAAATTATGCCCAGGCAGAGGTGGACAGTGACAGATTAGGGCATAGTTAGTGCCTTTTTGCAGGCAAATGGTTTGTTACCTTTCAGCATGTTGGTGTTTGCAGTGTGCTGCCTCTGCTGAACATTTGGAAAACAGAGCAAAAACCAACGGGGCTCACAATGTGCTGGCTCACGCGAGGCAAACAGAACACAGGAACCCGGTGTGATAGACGTGTCGCACGGGCCCTGCTCCCAGCAGGCTGGGCCAGCAGGGCCAGCCGAGAGGTCCCGGCTCCGCGTAGCTCCCCGGGGCAAGCAGCAGTGCGGAGCAGCCTTCCGGCTGGCCCGGCCATGGGGATGCTGTCGTGGATGTGCCGGTTTGCAAGGGTGCTGCCACCTTCGTTCAGCTCCTTCCTGAAGAACTGCGTTCAGTGTGTGCTTATACCTGTGTGCTCGGAGTACAGGGACACGGGGAGTCGTGTCTGCTCACCTGAGCAGGGCCTTTCTCTGTACTCTGCTTTTCTGTGTCCACAGCTTTGTCATTCTTCCGGATAAGTATCCCTCAGCCTTTGATGTTTATATGACTGTCTGTGACTTGGTGATATGCACGCACGGAGAAGCTAATAGCTTATTCCAAGTGTCCCTAGCTGAATGAAATCTTTTGTCTCAGTATTTCATCCTCGGGATGCTGGACTGTGGTTTGGGCTTTGACCTGGCTTATAGTCTCAGCCCTCCCACAACCCCGCTGTTCTTGGACAGGTCGCTCCTCACTCCGGCCTTCTGCTTCCTTTTTCAACCTGTGTCTGCTTTTGGGCTATAAGCTTTTGTTGCAACGACCAAGTGCTTGGAAGAGTATATTTACAGGGCTTAGACGCTGTTTGAGATTAAGACTTCAGGATCAAATTGTCATTATATAAACAACTGGGTTGTAGAGAAGCTGTCAGGTATGACAGAGCCCTCTCTAAAGCTTCCCTTGCCAGTGCACCATGCTATTTTGCTTCATATTTATTCACCAGGACTTATTTTTTGATTTTTGTTTTTAGATTTTAAATATTTTGAGGATACCTCCGATGAATACAGAGACCAACAGGGCACCCTCCTCCCACTCTGGAAGTTTCAGTATGACAAAACCAAGAGACTTGCAGTTACTGCCATCTCCTGGTAAGCCTTTTTATTGCAGGTTTGCTCTGCTGGTTTGCAGAGAAATTGGACTAAATGTCATATCACCTTACTAGGCAGCGTTTGTCTCATTGGGAACACTGTTTAATTCCAGTTAGCTACTTTTGGCACCACATAAGCATGGTAGTTGCTTTTGGATGAAAAGCACACTCTGTGAGACTTGAATGCACCATTCAGCAAAAGGGGAACGCAAAGTAGGCTCTGTGCACAGTATTAGGGCAAGGCAGGTGCAGTTGGCAGAGCAAATAAGAATCTCTTCTTGAGCAAGCTGAGAATGAACTGAGAATATTTACCTTTGCAGAATATTCAGTAGGAATCAATCCTAGGGCAGCCTAGGACAGGAGAAGGGCCAGTGATTACATTTTTAACAAGGGCCATCACAGGAGAAAAGTCTCTTTACTCGGGGCCTTATAAAGGTATTTGTTTAGACAACAGTAATAGTTGTGTCCTGCGATCTTACACAGTTCAGTGTAGTAGCAATTTACCCTACAGTCCACTTTTGTATCTTTGTTCCTAGTCAGTCCAGAAGCTATCCCTAATACTTTCAATTAACACTATCTTTTTGAGGCATTAGTTATTACAGTGAAAAAAATCTCAGCAGCATAAATGAGTCCTTTTACTTTTTAACAGGCTTCAGAACTTGCCTGGTTCACGCATTAAGCATGATGTTGATATAGTTTTCTTCTGCTCCCCTGCAGCCAGGCCTCTTCTCACTTGTTTGCAGCTCAGAGTCTTGCCAAACAGGATCTGTGGAAAGGCAGAGAATGACTGAAGTCTCACACCCATTCAAGCCACTGCAGTAATTTTGCTTTAAGAAAGGAGGATGTAGTTGTGTGAGAATTCAGATTAATACTAAAGTGAGATATAAAATTGGGAGAAAAGACCTTTTTTGTAGGTAGTGTATGCTGTTGTTTTTCTTATTTCAAGGAAATAACAGAAGGGTGTTCCTGGACTTGGGAAAAATAATCCCAAATTGAATTATGCAATAAGATTTACAAATGTACTGCTTTTTACACATTGTTATTAGTGACAGTCCCCTAACATCTCTCAAGGGGCATTAGGACTCTGAGCTACTAGCACAAGAAAAATGGAAAATTAAGAGAGACGTGTTTTTATGTTATCAATTCAGAATAGAAGGTTGGTGAAAACATTCATTAGATGTGTTTGACGTACATGTATGTTAGAGAATTTGTATCCAGAGAGTGCTGTGTGAGCTCAAGAGCAGCAGCAATATTGACTTTTGTCCCATTGAAGCCCTACAGTAACTGTCTACACATAGCAGGAGAGCTAAAAGAAGGTAGGTGTTTTTCAATAAAGGAACTCTAGAAGGCATCATAGATAGCTAAATGTTCACAGTCATTATGCTTCAGCAAACATACTCATCACCAACTGGATCAGAAGGGAATTTTCCTTCCTGATCTGTGGTAGTGGTCATGAATTATTGAGTTGGTAGCTGTCTCTTGAACATCCATCATTACTTAGTGATAGGTTAGGGAAAGTGAGTATGCTGGGTATTATTCTGTTGTGGTTTAGAAGCTCCTTTATTCTTGCCTTGAGTGATGGAAGCTGACACATCCCTGCCCTTTCCCCTTTCTTAAAGACGCATCTTTAAATGTAGCTTTTCAGTGATCATGAGTTGTACAAGCCAAGCAGTGCTGGAGATTGACATTCTGTGCCTTTTTTATCCTTTCCTTGTACTGCTGTGGTCTTCCGATGTTCTATTTCTTTTGTAAATCTTGAGTCCAGAAAAATTATTCACACAAACTTTACTTATGCCTATGTTCCCAAGGTCAAGCCCTTAGACTGTACACAGTCGTATGAGAATGGACTCTGACGTTAATGCGTGATACACTATACATTTCTGTTGACCTACGTGTTTAATAATAAATGCAATCTTTTATTAATTCTCTCATTACAGGAATCCAAAGTACAAGGACCTTTTTGCAGTGGGGTATGGTTCTTGTAAGTATCAAATATGAAAGTATTATTGAGAGATTTAAAATGTCAAGGTGGTGCACTGAAGTTGAATCATAGAACACTCTGGGCATGGATTGCCTCTCATAGGTGATCTCAGGTGATTTTGTAGCAGCTGATAGAGACTTAACGCAAAATAGGGATGGGGTCTTTATGTGACTTAAACATCCAGAAAGGCATAAGCAGTGGTAGCCAGGGATTTTGGCTTATGGCAGCGCTGGGTTTTCCTTCGATCAGGGGCTGGCTCCTAGAAGCACCGCTCAGTCCTTTTTATCTTTTCTCCCAGGCTCTGATGGGGCTTTCTCTGCTTCTGCCCTTCTAATTGTTGAAGGACCAGATCTGGTACATTTTGCCTGAAGCCAGTCCTAAGAGACTGCTCTAAGTGTAAACTCATTGCTTGCCTGTTAGATGGTACCTTCTTTCAGATTGTCTCAAAAGATAAACTCCAACAGGACACGTCAAGCCTGAAAGTTGTGAAAAGGCTCATCCCCTACTGCAGTATCTAGGACTGGACATAGGAGAGCTATGAGCAGCTATGAACATCTGTTTCAGAGTTCCTGTATTTCTCTATATTAATATGTGCTTAGTATTACTGCTTTCACTTTCAGATGATGGAAAAGAATTCTAGCAAACTGATATTTTCTCATTATTTTGTTGCTGTTTTGTTGATTGCATTATACCTAACTGCTTATTTCTCTCTGTTTTATTTATTTATTTTTGCAACATATCCAGTCAGTTCCCCTGCTCAGCTGTGGAGTAATGCCTTAGAGCAATACCTTTGTCATGTAAGGTCATCTTCTGTCTCCTTCCCTGAATCTGTACCTGAATCTTCCCTGAATCTGAATCGGTATCAACAATCTTGCTTTCCTCCTATTTGGTAGCTGTTGTTGCTTACAAAGTGACTCCTATATTCTGAATGTATTCTGATTTTTTGTCTTGCTTCTGCCCCTTTCCTCTTGTCTAGACAAGATAGTAACAGACACTGCACATAAACATTGTTCCTGTCATTCCCCACTGTCTTCTACTTTCCAGCCATCCCTAAAGAGCTGACTCTTGTAAATAGCTTTTTACTCCAAGGGGACAGCTTTCTGGTAGTTTACCCCTAGGGTTACTGCCTCCCAGGGCAGTTCCTTTAGGAAGGAGTCGTGATCGGAGACTATAATATTTTCCTGGGATTTCCTCACCAAGGTAGTGTTCACTTTTCACTGTTGCCCGGTTAGCAAGCTACTCCATAAATTTCTTAGAACCTCTGAAAGTACCTGTGGACCTCCCTAAGACTTTGCTCCCGTCCTCAGTTGGGAGTATGACTAGAGTCCTGTTGCTGATGTTCTCATATAAGGGATGTTGACTCTGAAACCACACTTTTGCTTGAGGCAGGTCTTGTTCGCAAAAGGGAATACAGAAGAACCATGAAAATTTCAAACTAGATTGCAGAGCAGTACTGGTTATCTCTGCTAAGAGCGACCAGGTGTGTTGACCCATGCAGTTTCCGCATGCTCTCTCCCAGGATAGTTGTCCTTCCTTGACTGTTACATATTTATTTATTTATTTTTAATAAAAGATGACTCTAGAGTAAGGCGCTAACACTTTTCTGTCTAGCTTGAAATAGGTAAAAACTGAAATGAAAATCAGTTATGTTTCTACAGGTAACAGTATTTGAGATTGACAGATAGTAGCGTTAGTCACTGAAACTTTCACCTCAAACACTGCAACCACAGGAATTTTTTATGGAGGACAGAGAATGGGGAAGCCAAAGAAGGGACCCTTTCAGTAGAAGCATCTTTGCCCAACAGCCATTGCAGTTGTTCTACACTTACTTCAAAATTACAGCTGAACATTTTTTTCTAGTGTTATTTGTCCTGAAAACGTTAGAATCCTGAATTAACAAAGGAAGTAGTTTGGTGCTTGCTTTAAGCACTTTTTTTTTTTTTTTTTGAAAGGAAGCTGAGGGATCTCAGCTCTAACAGAATGGTTAATGAAAATCTTTGTTGAGAAATTTAGTGCATGTAGGATAAAAAAAGTAAGTGCTGGTCCCCAAGGAAATTGCTATAATTCAGGAAGTGATCTTGAAATCATTCTGTGTTTTTCTTTTCAAAAGTCAGTAGTGGTTAGCAATTGTCCAAAAGGTGGAACAAGTATTGATGAGAATTGCTATGAAAGAAAAATAAACTTCTGGATACGACAGAAACAAAATAGGAAAGAACATATGAGACACCAATAGAAACGACAATAGAAAACAAAAGAAAAAACAAGTTCCCTGATAAAAGTGACATCTTTATTATTGTGTACAGTTCTAGTTGTGAAATCTGAAGAATATATTAAGCTATGGAAAAATTGGAAAAGAGCCAAAAAAGGGCAAAAAGGATGAGCAGAAATATATATACAACTTCTGTATCAGAGAGAACTAGCAGACTAGGACTTGTAAAATAGACAAGGAAGCGGGGATGTGATAGAGGTCTATAGAATCCTGAATGGTACAAGGAAAGTGAAAAAGGGTCAAAAATTCACTATTTTCTGTAACACCGGAATGAGGCAGAACTTACAAATTTTTTGAACCAAGGCAAAATTGAAATACAATAATGTGATACATAAGGAGATTGTGGAACTTTTGTGCCTGTCCTCCATGATCTGGGAGACAAAGGCATACATGGATTCAAAAGGGGTGGGATAACTTCACGGCATGCCAGTTTGCTGATGCCTGTTGAAAAGGACAAATCATCTGATTCACTAAGTTCAAAAGTGCAAGTTGCTAGAAGTTTTGAGAATATACATGGAAATAGAACTATATTTCCCTGCTTCTTATGCTCTTTCTTTAGGCAGGTGCTGCTCAGTACTGTCAGAGACAGTAGAGTGGGCTATAGGGGCCTTCAGTGTGGCCCAGAATAGCTCTTCTTTTGTATTTCTGTCTACTCTGACAATAAAAACAGATGGGTTGCTTTCATTTACACTTGTGAGGATTGTATTCTGCTTGCAATATAGCAACATTATGTTTTTATCTTAAAATGACACCTTTCTCTTAAAGTTCACTCCATGTGAACCCTGGAAATGTTCCTTTTAGTTTGTCAGGAAGTCTAAATTGTCCTGACAATCTCTTTAATTCAGCAGGCAGCTGCTATTTTAAAGGGTAGATTACGATCAGCTTTTGCAAAGGGTAGGGAGAAGCGCTCAGGATACTCGTCACTTTGTGCAGCAGAGCAAAATCTTATTGTGCTCACAGCTCCTGTGCCCAGAGGAGTGGAGGAATTAGAGTCTTTTCACTGCCCTGCTCCCCAGGGGCATAAGGAGAGATACAAGCTCAGGAGTGATAACCTCCCCACTTAGCCTGTTCTTGACATTTGCTGAGACTCATTGCACTAAGCAAAGGCCTGACATCTGTGCTTTGGGGTTGTGCAAAATTACTTGTTGTTTGCATTACTTCTGCCAGGGTATCCTGTGCTGAGTGCAATGCAGATGTAGGGAGAAGTGGATCCTAGGTCAGTGGCTTGTCATCCAAGTGTGCAAGATATTCCGAAGTTTTATAGCAGGCACAGAGGGCAGAGTTCATGTCACGTAGCTGTAGCCAGCTAAGAGGAGCTGAGTCGCTGCCCTAGGCTTCCTCTTCAGTCAGTTAGGAAAGATCAGCACATCCAGAGACCATCCGTCCTGTCCCAAGGGTGGTGTCCAAGAAAAGGAGCTAGTTATCCTTCTGGAAGCGATGTTCTCTCCCCAGTGAAGCTAGACTAGATGGCTATCTCATGGATTATGAAAGGGAGGAAAGATGAATCCAAGATAGAGTGAATAGTCCTCAAGATAGGTAGAGGCTGGCGCAGAGCCCAGATCTTTGGCGTCCACATACGGTGGCTGTAACATCAGCAGATTTTTTGTGCAACATGGATTTGGCAACACTGCCAGGATACAAGTAACACATTTGTGCTCTGCCCAAAGCATAGGTTTTGAAACAAATGGTCCCTGTTTACTGTGAGTCCACTTCACTCCAGTGTGGGGAGTTCTGAAGAAAGAAGCCCCTGCCTTCCTATAATTGTCAACAATGGTGTTTTTTGGTTAAGTAGCACCCTGCTGATGATAATGGCACTTTCCTTTTCCTCCAAACACAGAAGTTTTGTCATCATAATTTGAAATTCAGTGTCTTTGCTTTTTGGCTGGAATTAATTTTTATTCCCATCAGGAGGAACTGTCTTTCTCTTTCATTTTTGCATAAATGAGTTTGTTGGGTTATTGCTATGTTAGCAGCCTGCAGTGTAGGGTTCAGAGAAGCTGTGATGGATGTTGGGCATGTATTCTGCCTTGCTGACACCACCACCACTAACACAACTGCATGCCTTAGCAGTCACCTTCCTTCATGTTGCAGAAGTAAGTGTGCCAGTGACACATGGCATTCAGGGATGGCTTTTTGTGTGCACCTCTGTCTGCCAGCACAAGAGGTGAGTAGGGTAAAGCGGTTTCTGCATTCTCTTCTACACCTTCTTTGCACTGTGCATATATAACTTGCCCATCACAGGGGTGAGTGAGGAGTACAGAATCACACTCAGAGCACTGGCAGTCTGAGGTATTTGTGAAAGGTGTTCCCTCCCAGTTCTGCTGGATCTGAGATGGCTCTGGCTGGGGGAGACTGACTGTGAATGGAACTAGGCAGTGTAAAGACTTCTGTACTGATCTAGCTTTCTTTTAAAATCAGAAGGATGATCTATGCTGGTACAGACCTTTTTCTACTGGTGTTACTGCATCTAAAATAAAGGTTGTTATGACTCTGTGACTGAATTAAGCGGGTGTAAAATCTGGACCAAAGCCTTGACAGAAATGAGCTGGTATTTGATGGGGCATAGCTTTATCTCCACAGGTGCTGAGGAGTCCTGGTTGGACATTGAGCCCACAGGAGTGTTCTTGCTGAACTCATCTAGAGCATGTCGAACATGGTGGCAACAAAGCCCAGGGGACCTGTGGGTACCTACTGGACAGTCTTTTTTTTTAATAACTATTTCTCAGATACACTTC